TCGTTCAAATCAAAGTGTAAATAAACGTAGAAAACATATCTGTGTGGTGCGGCTGACACAGAACAGCATACGCTGTTTGCGTTCAGTGGACACTCTCCAAAATGTTGCTATGGTGACGCGGAGGAGACGAATTGTTGAATAAAGTCATTTTTTGTTTTCTTCGCGTACAAAAAGTATTCTCGTAGTTTCGTAAAATTACGGTTGAACCCCTGATGTCACATGGATTATTTTACCGATCTCCTTGCTACGCTTCTGGACTTCGATCGTGTTACTTACATTGCTCTCTATTGAGGGTCAGAGAGCTCTCAGAATGCATCAAAAATATCTTAATTTGTGTTCCAAAGATGAACGGAGGTCTTACGGGTTTGGAACGACATGAGGGTGTGTTATTAATGACAACATTTTCATTTTGGGGTGGAGTAAACATTTAACACCCTTTAAATACAGCAAAGAAGACAAGACCAGTTGCAATTCAGTATGCAAATAAAACTCTGCAAGTAAGTCAGAAATTGGCTGAAAATGATCTACACAATGTCTGTACAATAGGCGGTTTGTGCTGAACAAATTGCAGAAAGATTTAGGTTTGAGAACAAAGCCTTAGGGATTCGCCGTTATTACATTTCTGCCTGATACCAATAAGCAGAAAATTAATTTGATGTTACGGCTAATAACCAATAAATAATTGATAATAAAATTGTATTTTGTGCAATTAATAAACACACTGAAATAAATCAACAGTTTAACAAATTAATTTAGGCATCATAATATTATAAATTAAAATAAAGTTTTATTTTAATAAATTATTAGTGCGCAATTAGTAAATTAAGTGAGCATTAGAAAATGGCAAAGTTATTCTAAACATAAAAATTAGTCTGAAGAAAACGTGCACAAATAATAGCCAGTATTGATCAAAACCAAAAAAACGTAGAAATCTGTAAAATCAACAGACATGTTATGCATCGCTCAAACCCAAACCAGAATATTTTAGGAATATCAATATAATGCTGCCTTGCAAACACTGTAATTAAACTATAGCGCATAAATCAGTGAATAAAAAAAGTAGAATTGAAAAGTAGGTAGTATTTTTCACCCCAAATGCATCATCGTATCATAAAATGAGCAAGCATCTAATATGAAAAGAAAGAGAGTAGGAAGTATGTGTGAAGGAGGGTGGGGCAAGTTATATTTAGTGCCAGGAGAAAATGTGTGAAACAGTTTGTCATCTGGGTTGCCTAAGCTGAGTGGGCCTCTAATGAATTTGGCTCCCTCTCCCCTCAGGTGCTTGGGGGAAAAGCTTTGATGTTAGTTTATTAAATCTCTGTTTAAAAGCTGCTCTTTCAGTTAGCAACTGGAATCCAGATACTTTTTGTTGTTGCTTTCTCCGGTGGATGGATGGCCTGAGAGTGCAGGACCTCCACTTAGTCCCTGCAGCGGCAGCCACAAGACCTAGTCAACCTCGTCTCACGTCCTCACCTTTTTCTCTTGGTTTTGTGTTAATAAAAGAGTTGGAAATCACTACCCGTGTCATCCCTGCCTTTGCATTGTACACAAACACACACGCTGATAGTAAAATATGAATGTGATTACAGAAGCTACTGGCCAATCTGAAACGCATCAGCACTTTTCTTCGGCTCTTGGGCCAGTTGTACTTCACAAATCATTTCATGTATATGGAACACCTAGCTTGAGGTGCTTTGCTGCCAAGAATGCAACACTACCCTCTAATTCACAAAGCATGACTTGGCAATTTGGGTTGCCTGGCAAATCTCCAATCAGAATCACTTTTACCTCTTTTGAAATAAATGCATTTGGTTTACAGCGACCACAAAGTGAAACTCTAAAAACCATTCTTTGTTGTGCTAGATAACACACTATTAAACCAAGTGGACAAAAAAAGCTGCTAGATCTTTTCTCTTCACTTTTCTTCATCAGTTTTGTTCATTGACTTTTAATTACTGGCGTGCCAGTGATTTTTAGTGGATGTATGAAGTCTGTTCTCCTCAAGTTCACACAGGTGTACTGTCCCATAGGAAAGAAAAATCAAAAGTGAGATCTCTTTAGCATCTCAAATATTTCTCCTAGACAGAAATTAGGTTACTTTAAGATCGAATGGAAACTTTTGGTTGAGTCACCTGCTTCTCAAACTTGTCTCCTGAGACAAAAACTCTAGCAATCTCACAATGGTCTTCTTTAAAGTTTTAGAAGAGATCTCAACAACATCACACACTGTG